CTACTAGACTGAGTGTCCTACGACACGTTCGCGATGCGATGGCTGAAAGCCAAGACCGGCAGAAAGAATATGCAGATGAAAAAGGAAGAGGCAAAGTGGAAAGCTTTCAGGTCGGGGACCTGTTTTTTTAAATTGAAAAAAACTAAGAGATTCCGTAGGATCGATGACCCACTTCATGCGGTCAGCACTCTCTTGGTGCCTTCCAAGACAGCTTCATCCAGAAGCGATGACGAGTTTATCGCCTCGTCCGGTCGTACAATGACCACTTCGGCCAAAATGCCTGCCTTTGAGGAACTGTCGAACTCTTCAAGGGACATCTCGTCCAGCTCAAGAAGAGCATCTACTGCTGGAATAGCCTCGAGGCGGACGTCGCCATCTTCCTCCCCCGTCATACCGTTGACAAGGGTGTGTAACTGTGCACCATCGTCTATGGTAGACAAACCCTAGATCAAGGTCGAAGCCCGACGTCTTGCAGCCAGCACACGGCGTCGCCGTCGCCTCTGTACAGAGGTTCTATGTTTTGGTAATACCAGGGTGAACATGCACTCCCTGTCGTCCGGTGTCATCATCACTGTCCGCACCTTTGGAGCTCCGATGTTATCTTCAACATTCGACGAAGGGCTGCTAACACCGCCGTCTTCGTCCAGTGGATAACGTGCCACTCCACGCGCATCTGAAGTGCCGTGCCCAAGATGCCTCGGACTCTGTCCGACCACGCCATCAATGGCATACAGCGACTGCTTCGCAACGAGAGCTTTGCTCAGTGGTTCACGTGCCACTTCACGTGCATCACGGGGCCTCGCCCTCGATGCTTCGTCTCTTGGCCAACCATATCACGCATGACATGCAGCGACTGCTCCAATACTTGAGCAGCGCTCAGTGGGTTACGTGCCACTCCACGATCAGCGTGCGAGCTACGGCCGAGACCCCGGTGGGATGTACCGTTAGTGTCTACCAGCTCGAACATTCCAATGTTTAGCACGTTGATCGTCTCGGTCCAGTGCTCTCGCCAATTAGCGATTTTGTCTCCGAGCAGAAGTGGGTTCATGACTTACCAAAGCTCCACCAGGAGTCGTGCGCGTAGCGCCCAAGGTCTTTGACCTCCAAACAATCCATGGCTCATGGTGTTCCAATTATGCAATTCCTAGGAC